TTCCTAATCTCCTCTTTCCAGCCTTACCGAATACCGATGTGATTGATTTCGTACTCTTTCTKTTTCCCCTAATTTCCAATATGTAAAATTTCTTCCATTTTCTTGTCAAATCGTCGTATCTATTTGTTCCAGATTCCGACTCCAGATCTTGTGAAAGGTTAGTTCTTTTGCTTATTGTTGATGTGGAAGCGTCGGTGTGCTCATTTGCATTTAATTTTTTCCTTCTTTTGACGATGATCGTCACGATGAAATCAACTGGTTCCGATCAATTTGAATGTTTAATTAGGTTTTGATCGATTAAGGTGTTGAAATCGTTGTTTTGTAATTCGATTATAAAATGATTCATCGGGAAATTTAAAAAGTGGATCTCGTTAGCCCTAAAATCGCAGAGAAAAATCCATGTCAATTTCGGTTTTAATTTTGGTCAAATTTATAAGTTAAAAATCAATCAGGATCGGTTCGGTCTAATTTTCTGTCTCAATTTGATCCACTAAACCAATTTGGTGTCACTGTGTGTGTGTGCAGATGTTCTGTGAAGAAGTATTGAAGAATGTTTTTCCGTTGCTTGAAGGCGAAGATCTTGCGGCTTGTATGGGTGTATGTAAACAATGGAGAGACATAGCAAGTGATGATTTTTATTGGAAATGTCAATGTGCAAAGAAATGGCCTTCGATTTGCAAACGAAACAAACCTCATACCGGAACATATTACAAGATGTTTCAAACGTTTAGTAAACGGCGACTAAACCGTGTCCTCCCTCCTCCGAGACTGTCGTTCGAAAACTTGGAGTTCTTTATCGACATTTGGTCAGAAGATAAACCGGTATACTCGGGATTGATACCTGGTGTTGCGCTTGAAACCGGAATCAAAACCTTACCGTCAGGAATCAGCAGTGTTCTTAGAATTCACCTCGAAAGATCTGATTACAAGATGGTTGTTCCAGCTGAGCCTAGATTCACTATTCCGTTGAACCAGACTGTTAGCGTCTCTGTGCTTGTGGGACGGAATGATTCCAATAAGCTTGCTCGGATAATTAACCGATCTGTCTTTGATTATATCGACCATTCGTCGTACAGAGCGCTTGCTTTTGAGTATCTCGACTTATCTCCTTATTACCCTTTTATCTCCGGTATCCGAGCATGGATCTCTTTGCTTTTCATGGACGTTGAGGATATAAACAATGGGCTACTCGATGTTTTCGGGATTCAATTGGATTTCTGTGATGTTGCCGACACTAAAGAAGAGGTTTTGTGGCTTCTAGATATGCTTGATTGGAAGTGAAAACAAGCGTAAGACTCTCCTAATCCTGTCAAAGCTCTCTCTCAGGTTTGTAACTCTGTATACACAAACATCTTTTGATCCAGTACTATTACTCTTTTTACAACGTATGTTTCGTTTTAATAAAGATCGATTAATTTTTTTTTTGTTTTCGTCATTGTAACTTTTGCAACCAATACATTTGTTATTTCTTTAGTTGCAAATGGTAGTTAAGAAAACTCGTATCATTCTTCTAAAAGTTAATCTTTCCATCAAAAGTCTGACCATAAGTCCAATTCGGTGGTGCTACGTTCATGAAATCTTTATTAATCCCATTGCATGTCGTAATCCTGAACGATAAACCTTGTCCGAATAACTCAACCTCGGGCGCCCAATTTTGTCCCCATTTCTTCGTCATTGTTATCCATCCGGTCCTGCTTCCTTGTGGCCTTAATATCTCCGACTCCTCCTATATTGTACGCCAAAATCAATTGTTCATTAGGGTCGTCTCTAATTTCAAACTTGACACCACCAATTTTCGCACAAGGAATACGTCTACACTTAACCGGGACGACCCCGGCTTTGCCCTTGGCGATCTTGAGGAACATTTGTAGGGAGAGTTCAAAGTGTTTTTGTGGTGGGTTGCACAAGGTGTTTATGGTCTTGCTGTAATCTGGTGATGATAAAATTGTATCTGTGATTTTGATGGATCGGGGCAAACACCATTGTGGATCGTTAGCGCACATGATTTCGTAACAGGTCCCGCATATGTATCCGTCGTTGAATAGAGCCGTGCTCAATGCCGCGGTCGTTAGACCATAGCCTTGTTTGATTGGATCTCTGTTGAATATATAATGAAAAAGTAAGTAACGTTTGAGTTTGTTCTTAAATTTAGATGTAATACTATCTTTCTCAATTCCAAATGAATTATATTTATGTCATATTATAAACAAACTTATGTCATTTTAAACTACCGGATTTATAATTTCGTGACTCAAATTCAATATGCTTTTGCAAAAATCTGCCCAAACTAATAAAGCGTACCATAAATTTATGTAATGTGGAAGTAAAAATCAGTAACTAAACTTACGTTGAGTGCCTCCACCATGGATGTCACCGTAAGATGTGGCTCGTGCATCAAACCAAGTAGAGGTGACGGTTCCAGTACTGTGTGGGTCGGATTCATCACCGTTACTCATGGACACGAACCATATCACCATTACCGTGATCAAAACTTTTGTATATATCATCTTTTCTATAAGTTTCCTTTTTGATCTCTTTCTGATAGTTTTTTACTTTGATTTATTACGATTA